GAGGAGAGATGAAAAAGAAAAGGAAATGACAGACACGGTTGAGCAGGTTGGGCGAATCGTTATTACAGATTTCAAGCGACAAGATAGAGATAACAGTTCATAGGAGGACGAAAGGAAACAGAAAGGACGTGCCGGAGAGAAATGATAAGATGCGAAGGTAAGCCATAAAAGTCGCAAAGAGGAAACGGGCATCAACGCGCGGCGCTTCATTTCAGTGGAATTGGCTGCATCAATGCTAATTAATTAGCCTGTAAACTCCAAGCGGTCGATGGCCTCTGAGTAATTTCATTAGTCCCTGTTGCGAAGGGCTGTTGAATGTATAAAGTCCTGTTGTCGCCATGACTGTCGTCGTCCGGCGTTTCGGTAACGATTTCTCACGTGGCTCGGCGCTTAATCGCTCCATCTACCTTCAAGATGTTACGAAATGTCTACTTCCACGTGGTCGGGCGCCCGATACCGATGCTTAATCACTCTTCTTCCGACCAGCAGAGAAACGACGCAGCTGTCTCTCCTGCTGGTGCTTTTTCGAAAAGCTTTCGTGGTTCAGGAACGTGTAAACCGACCGAAAGAACTAACTCGTTTACGTCGAATAATTCTTTTTTTCCTGCTCTCCTAAATTTCACCCAGAGAAATTTTTTTTTTTGTTTATTTTCCTATATCAAATATTCCTATTTCTTACGAAATAATTACATTTTTTTTTTAACATTATTTACGAGAAAAGAAGGAAGGAAGGAACGATAGAAAGAGGAAAGAAGGAAAGCAGGTGAAAAGAAAGAAGGATATAAGGAACTTAGAAAGCGGTAAGTGATGGGAACGAAAGAGGGGTGGAGAGAAGGCCCAGAGAAATTGATGATGTATCGCAGAACGAAATTTTTGTAAGGGGGACCACTTGTGTGCACAGTGATTTATCCAAAGGAAACGAAATAAATGATTCGAGCAGCTTTTAATGAGCCTCAAGAACATTGACAAGTAGTCCAGCCGAATTAGACATGAAATGTACCATTTCATGAACAAAACTTTAATACGTGTTTCATTGTTTAATGCGGTCGTAATTATGATTGGAAACGAGGATCTCTTAAAAGTAACAAATGATTTGCAATAATAAACAATTGGGAACTGTATAACCGTAACCATCACTATTCTGTTTTATTTATCAGCTTATATCTTTGCACTAAACGGATAATAAAATGAAATGTGTTTCGTTAAGATAGCGCCACTGCACTGGTTGAGCTGCAAATTGCTTGTGAAAAAAAAAATTGGAGATTGATTCAGACATTGATATCTCGGCAAAAATGCGTTACTGCTGTTGAAATTCATAAATAAGGTAGTCCTAGTCTTCTCATACAAGTAGTGCCCTGTCGGTTGAAAACTTTTTGTGTTAACAAATTATAATGTGATCTAGTCGACATTGTAGGCAAGGTACATCGTTACTTACGGTTGTAATAAATTCTCCATGACAATCGAAACATTTCGTAAAAATTGCCTTGATTTATAAATGGCCGTCCAAATAAATAGAATAACTTTTGGAATAATTATTTAACCAGAATCGCCAGGTTTCGAGTTTCTCGAACGTGTGCTCGTCTCTCGAATACGGTCGTTCCTGTTTTGTTACGCGTACTTATTTTTAATGTTCCCGTCTCGACTGGTCTTTCGGTATGCATGCGGCTTAATACGACGTTACAGCGTCGAGCGAAACGTTAAGTCCCCTGTTTGCGCGATTGTCCTAACAATATTCGTGGCGCGGATGCGATACGGCCGGGTATTATTTGCACCGTACAATGGAAGCGTCGGGCAAGTAACGATATAAGCGTGAATTACCCTCATATCAGCCGCTGCCGTCGGCCGATGCAGTGGCTTTTCGCCACTCTAACGATTTGCTTCTTTGACTTTACACTGGACGAAATGTGATAGGATTAACTGGTATTGCTTTGTATTGGACCAGGCAAAGGCACAATCAATGGGAATTCAGGAAATTATGCTGGTGAAGTAGATATCGCGCATAGACTTTCTGTTTTGTTTGGATCCACATAAACCGAATTGCATTTAATTCGGCTGAAAATAATAATAATTCCGAATTTTTTAGTTGATGAATTTTTAAGGTTTCGACCGTAATCCTTTCCACCATCTCGAAGAAGAATTATCGGAGTCATTTGCAGAGTCTCTATAATTATTCTGAACAGTATATCTTCTTTAAAAGAAAATTATTTTGAATATTTCATGACGAAGAGTCTCATTTTACGGAAAACTACTGGTTTAATTTCAAACTCGGGCAAATTTTTGGACCAGACCGTGTAGATACATACATAACAACTGTTTGTAATATGTCAATTAACACTTTTTATTCGTGGCACTTTAATAATTTTTCAAAGTTAAATTTGATTTCCTCTTAATATATCTAATTGTCCTGTCAATAACACATCTTTAAGTATAGGAGGAAATGTTCACAGGAAGAAGATTTACTGAATATTTAAAGCAGTTATCTACAGTTATTTGGAATATTCCATAGTAGTACATTGTCTGTTGTACTACGCCGTTTAAAATAAAATTTCTAAACATGTACTATGCACAAAATTCAAGAAATGCACAGAATATATTACAATTAATATTACAACCATTTTTGTGTTAAAAAAATATACTTCTATAACAAATAACATACATATCTTAAAAATCCATATTTACTAGGAGTCTCTTTTTGTTACATTAATTTGAAATGCGAAGAATACTTTGACCAATTATAACATTTATTCACATTTATCTCTTGTTTACGAACCATTAATAAATATTAATGAATTACAATTTCTTTAATGTAACCATAAAAAAACCTATTAATAGACAAGGTTTATTTTTCTGCAGATTTTCATAAATAATAGATTTTTAATACACACACGCGTTATAATCTCTTCTCATCTAGAAAGTACTAAAAACTTCCGTTTCTGTAGGTTTTCTTCAATCAAGTACCGTTTTCAGATCGATTAAAATAGCTCCCGCTTTCAAATATGTTTTTAATACATAAATATAAATAGTACAATGAAAAACGTATTTGCTGGTACAAAGATATGTTATCGATTAAATTAATAATCGGACGGTTCGCTCAATAGGAAGTCTCGAAAGGCATTGAAATTTTAGGTGGATGCATGGTATCAACTTTCGATACTGATACTCCTTGAATCGAAGTACATATAATACTAAACTACCATTCATCCAGCCGAATTAGACATGAAATGTACTATTTCATAAAAAAAACTTTAATAGGTGTTTTATCGTTTAATACGGTCATAATTATGATTAGAAATGAAAAGCTGTTCGAAGTAACAAATGTTTTGCAATAATGAACAATAGGGAACGGTATAACCATAAAAATCAGTATCTTTTTTCACTTATCGGCTTATATGTATACATCGTTTATTACGCCGGATGCGAGTAACGAACGAAAAAAAAGAAATCAGTATGCTTGCAAGTCTGGCTACAAATCCTCATATTAGTTCGCGACAATCTGGCATTAGTAGGAGGAGCGTACTTCGCATTTTGCACCGTCATAAATTTCATATTACCATGTCAGTCTTCACCAACAATTGTAGGAGAACGACTTCATGAATCGCGTTGAATTTTGTCGACGAGCTAAACATCAGATTCAAAACAATGAATTATTTCTTAATACCGTCTTATTTACTGACGAGGCAACATTTGAAAATCACGGGAATGTTAATTTGCATAACATGCATTTATTGGCAGCGCAAAATCCACATTGGCTGCAGCAGGTTGTAAAATTATAAAATTATTGGTCCTCATTTTCTCAATGGAAATTTGAATGGCAACATCTACGCTAATTGTATTAAAGATACATTGGGTCCTTTGCTAAAGGAATTGCCTTTATTTACACGACAATCCATCTGGTATCAATATGAGGGATGCGCAACACATTATTCATTGATTGCGCGAAGGGAACTCGATGAAAAATTTTAAAATCGTTGGATCGTAGCCGAGTCGAGTGGAAATAAAAGCTTTCTCTTTCTGTTTTCCACTCACGTGTCCTTTTCTACATTCGGAACACTACAAAGGCAAGCTGCCAAGGCTCGACCTTCGAGCAAAAAAAACAAATGGATGTGGTGCTGACAACTTTTCGCCTACAGCGTGAATGTGACGCCGCGGAATCGAGGCCTTCACCCTCAACGAGAGCTCTCTGTACTGTAATTCAGGCAAAATGTCCCGCAGGACGTTAAAGATTTGCCAAAATGCTTTTCTCATAGGTATATAATTTTCCACAAAAAATGTAAAAAATTCGTGATGGTCATGTTAAAACTCTATTGATTTTCCATGGAATGACCCATTTGTGTGATCCTGGTATTTTCTAAATACGTTAGCATAAAACCTAATTATCCAATAGTAAACCAAATTTTATATCCAATATAAAACCTATTAATATTTTTCATTACATATTTATATCAATTAAACACAGAATAATTTTATATTTTATTGTTACATGTAGTATACCCGTTTTTTCATATGAATAAATTCTCCCTCTGAAACATTTCATTTAATATATTACAAGAGTAACAGGGTGGTCAATAAAATATAAGTGTGGGTATTACGATTTTTAGAAAATCAAATAAGGGTTCCGCGATAAAATAAGTTTGGGAACCACTGCATTACACTAATAATATAAATTTGACGGATCAATATTTGTACATTCTTCAAGTGCGCAGTCTTTGCATGTATTGCATTAATTAAACACGTAACAATACGGACATTTAATAAACAACAAGCATGGATGAAATTCAATGGCCTCGGTAATATCACTTTCAACGGGAAGAAGACTCATTATAATTATGTAGTTCGCTTAGTGTGCACGCTACTACTAACTTGCAATTGTTTCTGGGCTAAGACACATGTTATAATCTGTCATTTATTTTTCTACGCGGCTTAGGAATGAAGATACTGAAATGACCGGAGCTATCCGTCTTTTTCTTAGTAGTTAAAATTAATAAGTTCATTTTTCACAGGATGCAATCAGACTGTCAGGAATTCCGTTGGATGGATACGATGGACAGGTCGAATGGGCCGGTGTATTGTTCGGATCAGGGCACCACCTAGGGATTCTCAGGTGAATTTGTTGCACGCAATAGTAAAACTTACCCTATTAAAACAGTTTGAAAAAATAATAGAAGTGTCTCAATATAAATTACAACACACTGAGGATAGCATAGGCAGTGCGAATTGTTAGTACATATGTAATTTGTATAATGGTATATTCATACAGGGTGTAACAAAAATACCGGAGGACCCAGAAATGGGAGACTCGTGAGGTGATTTGAAACAAGTTTTTCCTTAGCAAAAATGTTATCCGAGGTTTTGTTAACGAGATATTAACGAAAAACCCCGACCAATCAGAGCGCGTGTCCGTTGGCCGAGTTTCCGAGGTAACGTTGGTTACGCGCTGCGATTGGTAGCCAACGTTACCGCAGGTACGTTTATTTGTGGGGTCGCAAGTGGTAACAGAATGTTTCTACATTTACAAAATCGATGGTTCTTTGGAACTCTGGATTTTTTACTATATCAACAAAAACGTAAAATGTTTTATAACAGTAAAATTTGAATGATAGTCAATAGCCAAGTATATGTATAATAGTATGGTATAAGTGGAAAAAGTATTTTGGATTTAAATATTAGTTTTAATTCAACGTATAGGTATTCGAAAAATGTACACACAAATCGTTGAAAAATCAAGCTTTAATCGACTTAAAAAAAATGATTCCTTGCAATTCCTTGTTTCTTAATATCCAAGGATTATGTTGAGATAATTAAAGAAGTCAATATTCAAAATTCAAATCTTCGTCCATGCTGCAGTTTTTACACGGTTCGTCCCCCTGTGCGGTGGTAATAAATTAAATAATATTTACTATCAAAGATTTAATATAAAAGCAATCTGGCAGAACACAAAAACTTTTATACATTTCTGTTCAATACGTTCTTATAGCACGGAAGTTTCCTGTTTTGAAAATTCTGATAAATTATATGCAAATCTATTTACGGTACAGGTGATCGAGTTGAAGGTCAGAAGATTGCAGGTTGGTTTTCTAAAAGAAACCCGATGCGAGGGTGCTTACATTAAATTTTCTGATGGCAGTGATGATCTTGAAGATGAAACAGGACGATACTGCGGCCATGTAGATGGAAATATAACAAGGTATGCCATATTTTAGTTCGCGATTAACGGTTTGACAAAGAACGTAAATGCTGAAGAATGCAACTGAGTTGCTATAATTAACGCATGAAAAATACAAACGAACGCGTTTTTAAATCGTTATATATGTTTAATGACTACCTCTACTCTATTTTTCTGGTTCATTATTTTAAGCTCTTGGCGTTTGAAATATAACACTTCCAAGCCGCTTAGAAACGCAATATTTAGAGTGTATAAGTGTTGGCCATCTCGATAAACCTGTAATATTGATTTGTATAATTACAATATAGATACTGACAATTTAATTATTCCGTTTATTACGAAATTGAATTACGTCTAATTAACCCGAGAGCATTTGTATAATAATACATCGGTGTATTTATATTTTTGACAAGAATAATCTTGCGTCAGAAAGTAACGTCTTATTTTAAATTTGTCGAAGGAGGAAGTTGTAAATATTGAAGTCATTTTAGCGCAGGTACGTTTAGTTCTTCTTCTGTTAAACCATACACAAATATTTAAGATACTGACATCTATGAAATCAAAAAACTATTATACCTAAAAACAAAATAACGAAGCACATACTATGAAACTTAATACAAGTTAGGGATACATTGGATACAAATATTTAAAATTGTTCGGGATTGGTTGGGCAACGGCATGACGTCATGCGTGCCGAAACAATATTGTCGCCAGAAACGAGACGCCTTAGTGGAGAGTAGGCCTAAGACGTTTCGTCATAGACGCGTCATAGACATTTGACGCTTGCAGGACGTTTTCATGTAACGACCAATGTAAAACAATGGACGTGTCTCCACTGTTATGTGGCAGCCCTGGTGTAAACCTAAGCGCGCGAAATATGAATCGAAGTAGAGAAAATCGAAAGCAATTGACAAAAGAAATTGTAATCATCATCGATTACTATTCACAACTGCTCGATTAAAGTAAATATGTATTTTCGTTGCCATGTAATAGGATCATAGCTGAGGTGTGACTTGATTCACAAATGCGGAAAACCAATAGAAATAATTCTTTTATAACTTTATATCGAACCATTAATATAATTGGTGTTACTAATGTAATCAGCGTTTATCTTCTTGAACAAATGTTAGCAACATCAACGACGACTCTAAATGTTCATTCGATTCCAAGTCTTAGTAAAGCCCAGACGTACTCCTTTGAATTTCAAATAAATTGTAAAAGCGTTGAAATAGTTGTTTAAAAGTTATTTAGAACAAGTTAATTAAGTTTGAGAGTTTTATTTATTAACTTTACAATTTTCCTTGCATAATTAGCTATAAAATTTAATTATTCCTGAACTATTCAAAACACCATTGTACAACCACGAGCAGAGTGTTTCAGCACTCCACGCGGCACAACCCAACCTTTTAAAAACTCCTAAAACATAATTTAGTAACTATATACACTGCTGTATTCGGGAAACTCTTCTATATCCTTTAAGGTTAAATTGAACTTTCTAGCGTTTTTAATTTTCACGTAATACGTCATTTTTCCCCATAATTGGATGGTGTTACAAAAGCTCATGTTTTTCAAAAACTGTGAGATGCACGAATGGAGATGGAGAAATTCTGCTTCCGGATTCGTGATCTGGACGAGGAACTCCACAAGGATCTCCTAAAGTCCTAAAGGATATTGAACAGTGCTATATGTGGTGATCAGCCAAACGTCTCGTCCGACGATCGCCGATCGCGAATGTGTTAAGAGTCCACTGTAAATATTTATTCAACTCTATCAAAGTTTGTATTACACTGCGTTCTGCGGATCAAAATTTACTATAAATGTATAAACATCGTCTACGAAAACGTTCGAAATGTTTCTAATGAAAATCTGCACGTTTCTGATTTATTACGTGGGTGTAATGCACTAACAAGGAGTGTATTTTAGGTGTCCGCCTCCGATTGCTTTGGTTTTCGGATATGTTTTAGAGGTCCGAAAAATAAGAGATACGTATTTTTTTATAGCGATCCGTTTTCATATTTAGGGGGTGAAACCACCTCTTAAATTTTCGACCCGGAAGTACTATCTCGAAAACCAGAGGAGATACATGAAAACTTTCAATTGGTGGTTTTCATGGTTTTTTATGTACAATAAACTGGTGTTAACAAATTGTCAAGAATACAATTTCTTTATAACAAAACAATTTGTTATAACTTTATTTTACAACTTATTGAAATTTACGTAATGACATAAAATGACGAGCACTTAATTCCAAATCCATTGGTATATTTATTATTGAAATTGCCTCCTTAGTCTCGCAGTTTTTTATTATTTATATTCTGTGCGCACGCCCACTTTTTAAGCTTCCGATTGCCTCGGTTTTCGGAGAATATATTAATAAAAATTAAATAATGGTCAATTTATAAAAGTCAATTTCGATTGTTCAAAAAATTTCTTTTCTTTGTTGTTATAATTTATTTTACTTTTTAGAATAATTAAAATAAAGTGCTCGTCATTTTATGTCATTACGCAAATTTCAATAAGTTGTAAAATAAAGTCATAACAAATTTTTTTGTTATAAACAAATTGTATTTTTGACAATTTGTTAACACCAGTTTATTGTACATAAGAAACCATGAAAGCCACCAATTGAAAGTTTTCATGTATCTCCTCTGGTTTTCGAGATAGTACTTCCGGGTCGAAACTTTGAGGAGTGGTTTCACCCCCTAAATATGAAAACGGGCCGCTATAAAAAAATACGTATCTCTTATTTTTCGGTCCTCTAAAACATATCCGAGAACCAAAGCAATCGGAGGCGGACACCTAAAATACACTCCTTGTTAAGTGAGATATATGAAATGAAATTACATATATTCATGATGCATCAGGCAGAGATCTGTACTAAACAAAATGCACGTTCGGCATTATAAAAACTACTCGACATTATACGGAGTCCATTGTAATTACTCCTATTTGTGTTAATAATTATAAACACTAACAATAGTGTGATATCTGTTTTTCATAATAACGTAATATAATTCATTATGTTGTGTTTGTTACAAATAGAACCTATAAACAATAGGAACATTGGTTAGTCATATGCTAATACAAGTGCCTGAATAACACGTCAAATTGAATTTAAAAAAAAAAAAAACGTCAGTCTACGTTTTTGATCTATTTTTACACAAGGAATCACCGCATGCTTAGTTTTCCTATCATTGTGATTATACACTGTGTATGCAAAAACAGAACCACACATGGAAAAAAAGTATAGTTACCTACAGAACTTTTTCGATGGGCAATATTCGTATAAATAATCGATACAGGACAATAGTAAAAATAAAGACATCTGTAATAAGACAGTCGGATAAATCACTTTGAACATACGAAAATGTTTAGATGGCATTTTTAAGTGGTATTTTCTCTTTCCATTATCCCGCAGGTTGTTCCTGAGAAAGGGTCCGAATTTAACGATCATAATGGATTCCGACGCAAAGTTCGCTGCTGAAAACCCAGTGATGTTCTCCGCCCAATTCTCTATTCTACCAGCCCAGCTGGCTGTCGAACGACATCGTGGCTATTCGCTGTCCTCTTCGTCCGTGTGTCCCTTGGAGTGTGCCGTACGAAAGGATCGAAGATCCTGTAATGTCGTATCCCCGGGTTATCCAGGAGTCTACCCCCGCAGTATTAGATGCCATGTCGCCCTGGAATCGAGTACGGGTCGTTTTAAAATCGGGGGCCAACAGGACGACCTTTTCGATCTTATGAACCGCACGTCCCAGGACAGCTGTCAGACGGAGAACTGTGAGCAGCACGTGGAAATCGTGGCGGAAGTGCCGAAGACGAGGGTCGCCAGATCAGACAGACGGTATCTACCGGAAAATAAGCCCGGCAGGAGACCGAGAAGTTCCGATCACGAAGAGGAACTGGAATTTATCATTGGGCAAACGTCGCGCAAGTTCAAGAGGGGTGGAAATAATCGGAGAAGACTTAAGAAAGTCAAGAAGCAAGATGTTGGATCAAAGGCTCCTCGCAATTCTCGTGGAGAAGAGGTAGACGAAGATATCTGGAGAAATAGCGGCCGTCCAAAAGAGATCACCGACCAGTCCTTCGCAAATGTCTTTCCCCGGAAAAGCGGCTCCAGGCTACCCATCGGCTATCGTGATCGAGGCACCCGTACCGAATCTATCCAGGCACGACTTCGTCACCCACAGCGCGTCCATAAGAAGTCTATGCTCTCGATAAGTTCGGATAAGAATTCTAATCATGATCTACAAGATATATCGGACGTGAAAATTCTACCTGACGGAACGCACGAAAAAATCACTCTGCTACAGGTGAGTTGTCATTAAAGCAATACATTTCCGTTGATTTCTCTAGACAATATTTAAGATCATTGAAGTCAGTGTTGACTACTTTCTAACGACCCTTGGAGATTATGCCTTAGGACATTTCAAATTACTCGTAAATCAATTGCTGTGCGAAAAATATTTCAAACAAAAAGTTGTATGATATAATAATTACCTTTTTTCTACATTGTATCCTACTCATAAAGTTCCGAAGGTCACCGTGATATTTTTTTAATGGAATATCCTATACTTCTTTACGGAAATTAATTAAACAATAAAGATTGGATCAGTAAGTGTTAAGGAATAATAGGTCTAAAGCTTGTGATATGTTATTATTCGAAATGTGTTATTACTAGGTTTCAAAAATTGATTTTCTATTGAATTTTTAACTTGTGACCGGGTTTTGTCGGGACCACGGACGGCGACGGGCACGGCACAGAGATGTATAAACTGTTACATATGTATGAAAATACGATAATCACGTCGAGTGCGGGGCATGGAACGGACACGTCCCGGTTGTGTATAAATGAGCCTTTATCTGGTATATGTAGGGTCAGTTTGAATCAATGACGACAGCCATGGTCGTATTCTTCATTCTAAACTGACGGGCGCAGACTCCTTACCAGATCGAAGCGCAGGTGTAAACAAACGGGCGCTAGTGGAAATACACAGTCGGTAACTGGGACGGCTTAACGATGCGACATCTAACGGCCCTACGTAGAAATAAATTTTTTTCGCTGTTACAGTAGACATTCAATTCCCGCACGTATCTGGTAGGTTTTTTCATTTCAAATGAGTAGAATGGCCGGAATCGTGTCAGCCAGTAGGACGTTTTTTTAAGGGCTCGTACTAAATGATTTATAATTCTGTCAACTTTAATTATTTTTACTTAACAAAAACTGTTAATATTCTTGAAATAAAAAAAAATATGTGCACGAAAGGCGGTTATCAAAAAGTCTTATGGATTCTTTGTAAAAAAATCGCAAAGTCTAAAAAATAACACACTGGACTAGAATATTCCTTTAAGAACAGAAGTACTTATTTTGTTTTTCGTTTTGTTAAGGTACCCGAGTATCAGTACCCGAGGAAGGGCCAGATGCAGGACAAGTTAGGAAGCAACAGTTGCGTGGGCGATTACCTCGCACTTCTGGAGAACGTAAATGGGAAAATTTTCGAAATTTCCAGGTTCTGCGGCAAAGGCCACGTGCCACGGATTCTTTCCCGGGGAAAGAATATTATTATCGAATTTTTCACGGAACAGGATGGCACGTTAATGCACGACGGGTTCCAGTTGTCCGTTCAGGAAATCGAGGAGACATCAGGCGTGAAACCCGACAGAAACTGCGAATTCGTTTACAGAAGCGCGGAACGTACCAGAGAAAATATCAATTCCTTACAGAGCTGGTATCCTCCTAACACTCTTTGCAGTTACAAATTCATCGGGAGAACTTCTGAGAAAATTTTTATACACATGAAGATAATTAAAAACCTGTCGGACCGAGAGTATTTGTCTGAGAAGCGAAATGTGTCTGTGAATTATTGTACCGGAAACGAAATCGCTGTTTACAATGGACTAGAGGTAACTAATACAAAATATGTAGGGATTATATACGGGTGTGGGTATTAAGATGGTTGACACACAACAAATAATAATAGTATAAACTGTATTTAATATAAAACTATAACAGAAGATGACAAAACAACAAAATACTGGGTTAGTACCCGTTAAATTACTAAAAAATAAATAAATAAATAAAATAAAATTTACTGAATTACACCACATGACAAACGACTAACCTACGATAATAACTGGCAGCTTTACTTTCATTTAACAGACTGTCCTGGAACCAGTGTTGGGTAGAATTTTATTCGAATAATACACAGTGAAAAGCAACAGTATCTTAGGGTGCGTCATTCTGAGCTTTAAACAGTTAATGAGATTAAATAATTGTTCGACAAATGTCGATTGATTCATAAAGAAGTATTATTTTATTATAAAAATTAAAATTTCCACGTTTAAACAATTAAAACTGACGAAATACTTTTTCTTATCTTTTATTCCTTATTCCAAACTTTTTATCTAGATAATAAGTTCGCCCATCTCTGCCTGGAATTATGCTGTCTCTGCCCTCTCTTAAACATTTACACCTACAGCACACATCCAAACCTTAAGCTTCGTATTCATCTGAGCATGCGGCCCCGAATGAGCACCGAGCGAGCGTCGTACGCGTGCGCTGACGTGGACGGCGAAGTGAGCACGAACCGAACGGTCAGCGAGCATCTTGGCCCGTTTCGTTCGTTGGCGGCATGTCAAAGTGAGTTCGGTGCTCATTCCGAGCCGCATGCTCACAGGAGTACGCGGCTTGAGAGGAACTGTTATCGGTTGCGGCGTAAACACAAACGCCTTCTGCTCACGATCGTACCTTCGCGAGGAAACTGGGCTTCCGCTAGGGAAAAAAGTAACGTAAGAAAAGGGTCTCCTACCACTTCGGTAAATTTATTTCAGGTACTGAAACGAATGCTAAATCGAATGTTAATTTGGCATAAATTTTTGTAATGCCCAATACCAAGTGGTAGGGGCATGGTAGGAGGCCCTCCGGAGCTGGTCCCGATTTTAATGGGTGAAACTCCGCATTGGCCGTCTCCGCCCCCAGCGGATTTTCCCTACGTCACAAAGTGGGCCAGATCGAAAAGTTGTTCATTTGTCAAAAAATCAAATTCCTCATATCGATTTTTAACGAATGTATATTGCTTTCTAAATGTGTATCACATTCGAAAACGATGAAAGTAATGAGGTATATTAAAAGTTGTAGTTTAAAAAAGGCATTTAAAGATCAAACTTTTATAAATACCATTTTTCACCGAAAAAATTACTGTTTTTCGGATTGATGCCCCGGAAAACCTATTAAACATTATGTGTCCATGTTTTTTTTTCATGAATAGTATATGTCTATATTGAGAACGCTCCTCGATTAAAAAGTTATTGTTTATAATTTGTTTAAAAAAATATTTTCACCTCTGACAAAGGGTAACTTTAAAGTTTTAAAGACTTATGCGTTCTATCATAGTGGAACATTTTCAGGCTTTATTTGTCTATAAAATCATGCAAAATTCACTTCCCCCTCGTTCCACCCCATAAGTTATTATTGTTTAAAGCGTCGCGTGACACGCATTTCAGCGGCGAGTCGCGTTGCACGAGACCGGTTGCAGACCACTACTTACACAGATTAATGTTAAAAGAAGACCTCCAAGACGATGGTAATTCATTGTAGATAATAAATTTTAGATAAATAAATTAATACATTGTAAAGCTCTACTAAAAAGTTTATTATCTTTATTAATAAGACTAATTGTATAGATTTTTGTTCATTAATAGACAAATAGTAAATAAAAGTTTATTAATAAAGAATAATAAAAATGACAATGCTTTTTTTCTTTATAAGCCGAAAATCCGTATGGTTAATTTATTATATTCACTAATTTGCTAAAATATAACACTCATTCTTGTTTGAATATTTAAAATTATTTAAGAAGAAAATAATCACATATTCTTCTTGTGTGCTTAAATGTAATAAAATTCATTGATTCAAGAATTATGGATTACTCTATTTGTTTGAAAAGTTTTCAATTATAATTCATTATTCATATGTCATCACGATTTTTCAGGCATTTTCGATGCTCTGTCAAACAAATGTTTCCAACAAAGATTAGTCAGCACTTCCTGTTCTAGAAATTCCAATATAAAAAATTAATAAAGAAATTCTTTTTTAATAAAAAAAGGTCACCTTGATTTTTTTATGGTCACTATATATTTTTTACTTAATAATATTATAGCTGACGTTAAGATGAATTCAACGACCTATATATTATTGTCCTTAAGTATTGAAATAACGTTAAAACAGTTGTGAACAGCTAATTCTTCGATCTGGCCCACTGTGCGCCACCTTTTGCCTTTTTCCCTAGCGGAAGCCGAGTTTGCACGTCAGTGTACTATACATATCTACCGTTAAGGATTACTTTTCTAAATACCTATCATCTGAAGAATAGGAGATCGAAATATAACAACCATTATTCGCATTCAATACATCGGTTCTTGTTTCACAAGTTATATGTAGTATAATTGCAAACATGTATCCTCGAATATTTGCATCGTTATCTATTATCTCAATTCATCAATTTCTAAAGCCGCTACTCAGTGGTTTCTACGTTGCTATTTTATATACAATTAAAATATGGACTTTTGTCTACAAAATAGCGATGAAAACATTACATTTCATGCATTCATTTAAAAGTTATAATTATACACACGTATCTTTCTCGAGCAACATTCACTGATGTCAAAAAACACAAACACCCATGAATTGACCTAATATTAAATTTATTACAATACATATTTCATTGGAACCATTAATAAATTATCGAAATATTTTAATCAATGTAATAAACATGGCAATATTAATTTTACAGGCAAACAACAGTGTCCTGATGTGGTCTTACTGCGACGTATCTCACCGGGACATCAATAACATACAAATTCCTCTGAAATCCACCGGAAATGAATTTCTCGTACAATATTATAGCGCGAAAGGATCGTACGACGGTCAAGAATTTACTTACACAATGTCGTACAGGTTTACTAAAAAATCGCAGAACTCGACGATTAGACGACAGGTTCAGGATGATTTCAAACTGATCTCCCTAAGGCCGGTCAATTTTTCAGCGTTAAATTTGAACGAGAGTGGAAACTGCAATTGCGATTTCGGAGACAGAATCGGCAGTTTCAAAAATTGGTTCATGGTCCTCGTCGTTCTGGGAATCGTCTCCTTCCTCGGAGCTATTCTTACTATAATTGCGCTCCTCGCTAAGTGTATCAAAATGAAGTCAATGGAGAAGAAACTTCTACAAACCCCAAAACTATGAAATTAATCAAACTTTTGTACAAAATTCTATTTATGGAAATAAAATGTTTTACACTCAATAATTGTATAAGTATCGTGATTCAATAACAAAAGAATGAAAAATAAAAAAATTCCAGCGAAACATAAACTTTGATTATTGATTTTGAAATCCAAAGTGATGACAATTAAACATTATTGTTCCGTGAAAAGATCCTGTGTGTTTAAATAGATGAAAAGTATTTTAAGGCTAGTTTTTGTCAGTATTAACAGAAATGCGAGCAGGTTATTATAATAGTGAACACCGAATACGACGTAATTAAAACGGCGAATGTTTAGGCAAATTTAAATTATTTAGATGTTTCAATGTAAACAGGAGTTTACATAATGTTTTCTGTTAAACGCTTCGGAGGTAAAAGTAAAAATATTATCTGGTCCGAACTGCATGACAAACCATTCAACTTTTATCTAAAATGTATGTACTTTGGCATTATTAATGGTTTCGAAGATATTCGTGGATATGTATTTAAATAATTCATTCTGTATATTTGAAATAATGAATAGTGAATAGTAAATATTAAATATCAAATATGAAATATTAAATATTTTCGGAAGTAATTGTTGTTCTTCTCTGACGTACGATAGAGACTAGATATGGCCTGAACTGCTACTTGTGAATCACTCGTGATTCGATAACGTTCGTTCCCAATCACGATGATTTTTCACAGTGATTCGTGATTTCTCGTCATCGTTTCTGATTAGTGGAGAAACCTAACAGTTCTTTACACGCGACACATAATCTGTATATTTTATATTAACGACATCAAAACAAAAATTCGAGTTATATCGTATACAGTGAAGGAATAATTAGAAACAATAAAGAATAATGAATAAATTAATGATAAAATAATGATGAAAAAGTTGGGTCACAGAACCCCCGCAGGAGGCGCCAGAGACCCGTGCGGTGAGAGCGTGGGGTCATAGAACCCCCGGTGGAGACGCCAGGGACCCCGTGTGGTGAGTCGTGGGGTCATGGAACCCCGGGTGGAGGCGCCGGGGACCCCGTGTGGTGATAACGTGGGGTCACAGAATCTCCACAGGTGGCGCCAGGGACCCCGTGTGGTGAAACCTGGGGTCATAGAGCCCCCGGTGGAGGCGCCAGGGACTCCGTGTTGTGAGAACGTGGGGTCATGGAATCCCTGGAGTATATGTAAGAGTTTTGAAACGTAATCCTTTATCGCTATTGCTCATACGAGTTTCGAGCTCGGTCTAATGTTGCTCATGCAACTGTCGAAATCTGACTGACACTTGTGCCTGCTTTCGTGAGCAAATTATATAGTAACCCCAGCAACCATAGCAATTTCTGCAGATACTAAAACAGCCCAGGTTCAAAAGACGTAGGCAGTAGTTAGTTTCTGTAGTAACCTGTTGAATCAGACAACTATAATTAGTATAGGATTGTACAATATTTATACAGTTATATTTAAAACAATTCGACGAAATGAAGCTTATATTACCTGACGTATGTTTATTGGAATATACATATATACATATAAATTATAATGATATAAAAGTTTGAAATACAATACGATGCGTTACGGTACAATACATCTATTCGATTCAATTGCTCCCTTGCGACTGCAACATCATGCTATCCGCGTCGACGCAGTGCGCTAATACGGAGGCCAATGAAATATCACTGTAACACTTAAAAAAGTGTTAAAGTTATAGAATAAAGAAAAGGAATCTAAAGTAATTTTCCGTAGTTCCATACATCTTTACCTCGAATAATTTTCTAAAATATTCATAGTACTAGACATTTTTACACTTTGAATCTCATATCGATTTCTAAAATAATCCTAGTACGATGTAATATAGAACGTAGTATCATGAAATATATTCGAAGTTCGCAGCCATTGGCTCG